TACGGCATTAAATTCAACATGTATCTTCGCTCAATTACTCACTTCGGTTGCAAAAAAAAAAAAAAAAAAGAAAGAAAATTGCCTCGACGCAGATCTGACCTGTAACTCCGCGGCCCGTTGGCGTCAGTGTGAGTTAAGGCCTGTCTCTCGTATCCATGGAGACACGTTTAATGCTGCGCCGTGGGACATTCGAGGCATAGGAACGAGCGGAAATGTCACGTAAAGCGGCTTTAACGGTCGCAGAAAACGGATTTGTCGTCGTTTTTTTTTCCTCGCGTTTTCTTCCAGAGCCGATTCTCCTGTGATGTAGCCAGTATTATTTCTGTTGTGTAATTAATGTTACTTACATTGACGTCATGTTTACTAATGTTTGTTTATGAAAACTCTTTAGAGATTAAACTGAATTTACACGAGTTAAGAGTTAAAAAAAAAAAAAAAAAAAAAAAAGTTCGGGGTTTGGAGACGGGAGCAGCGAGGAAACGAATAAAGTGTCTTTAACGCAAAATATGGAAAGTTTCAGGTTCATAGAAGAATCTGGACTGAACCAGGACTAAATGAGGACTAAATCAGAACTAAACCAGGACTAAATGAGAGCTGAACCAAGGAATGATCCAGTGTGAGGTCTAAAGAAGAAACCAGGTCCAAAACAGGTTGGATTAGACCAGGACTAACCCAGGATTATACTCCTCTTAGAGCAAGTCTGTGTTCTGTAGAAGAAAATAGATCAAAACCTGGACTAAACCAGGTTCAAACCAGGTCTGAACTGGGCCTAAAGCGAAACTAAAATAATAGGACTTAAGTTTTACAATCTATAGAAGAATATCAGATGTAAAACACAACAAAACTGGGACTAATCCAGGTCTAAACTAGGTCTAAACCAGAAATAAAGCAGATCTAAACCAGGACTAATCTTGTCGTTCGAATGAGCGTACTATTTCACCAAACGGGACTTAAGCAGGATTCAGCCAGGTCTAAAACAGATCTAAACCAGATCTAAACTTGGTCTAAACCAGGTCTAAACTTAGTCTAAACTTGGTCTAAACCAGGACTAAATCAGGATTAAACCAGGTCTAAACCAGATCTAAACTTGGTCTAAACTAAATCTAAACCAGATCTAAACTTAGTCTAAACCAGGTCTAAACAAAGTCTAAACCAGGTGTAAACCAGGACTAAACCTGGTTTTAACCAGGACTAAATCAGGTCTAAACTAGATCTAAACAAGCTCTAAACTAGGCCTAAATCAGGACTAAACCAGGTTGAAACCAGATCTAAACCAGGTCTAAACCAGGACTAAATTAGGTCTAATCCAGGTCTAAAACCAGGTCTAAACCAGGTCTAAACCGGGACTAAACCAGGACTAAACCAGGTCTAAATTTCCTGTCTCAAACGTGGTTTAAGTCGATCTATCTCCTCGTCACTGGGAGGTTTGTGGTTCAGTTTCTTTTCAACATAAAAAATAAATCACATCTATCTTCCTTTTTTTTTTTTTCAAACCTGCTGCTCTTGTCTCCGCCTCTAAACTCTCAGCCAATCAGATCACAGAACTGCCCTTAGAGCCCGCCCCCTTTTCCGATACAGCGCTGTGATTGGCCGATTACCGAAACTCTCGCCTCGTTTCACTCCACTAAAGTAACGGCCAATCAGAAACCTTTATTTTGACATAGGAAATATCTAAAGTATTCAAATAAACAAACATAGGATTTCCTTGTTGCTCACTTGACAAACATTAGTGAATGTAACTTTACCGAACAGTATTTTTTATTATTTTGTGTGTTTTTATTTCTCAATGGCAGTATTTGGTTTCCCCTTTTCACCGAATAAATGTGTAGGACTTTTTATATTTACGAGTCAGTTATTATTTTTTTGTATTTTTTGGTTTATTTATTTGTTTAACGGTGTCATGTACAATACTCAAGCTGGAGTCGATAATATATTTTAGTACAAAAATACAAACTTTGGTCTCTTAACGTGTGGTTCTGGGAGGCGGAGTTTGTAAAAAGTGGAATTTCAAAGGATTTTTTTTTTTTAAACGGTGATTTTAATTTGGTGTGAATTGTTTTTTATTGCCAAAGTAGAAAAGTAACGACAGGGTGTAATTGTTCTGTAAAAAATTCAGATTCAAAGGTTTTAAATTATAGAAAATTGACCGAAATGTGTCTCCAAAATAAGCGTTATTCACTTTTACGTCACAAACCAGGAAGATATCTTGGAAAGATGCGATGACAGTTTTCTTTGGGTTCTGATCGTGGCAAAATCTCGACAAAATCTCAGAAAAATGAGAAAATGTCCCAGTTTTCTTCACCTACACAACTCCGAGTGCACTGGGTACACTGGAAAAAAACAACAACAAAAAAAACAATATCTAGCTAAGTTAACATGACTTAAATTAAGACAATTTTTACTTTATTTCAATCGATTAAATTTGAAAAGTAAAATTATCCACCAATGGAGTAAGTGTTTTTCTTAGGTTTGTGTACAGTTCGTTCTTTTGAAATTCAATTAAGAACGAAAAACAATAAAATGGGAAAACAGTTTATTTCATTATCCCATTTTAGTGTCAAACCAAAAAAAGAAAAGAAAAAAATTCTAAATATTTAATTTAAAGTTGATTTTAAAATTTTAAAATTCCACTCAGTCTTGGTGACTATAAGGGCTGGGTATCATTGAGAAGTTGCTGATACGACACATATCGATATATACTGATACAGCGAGCTTTCGATTCGATACGATATATTTCAAATCGATTCTGTAAAAAATAAAGGCTAAATCATGGCTGTGATACTAAAAGTCTTTGTTAAACCACTTTTTGTGCAAAAACACAAACATTTTAATCCTCAAAACAATGAAAATGTCAAATGTGTCGCATAAACAAGTTTTCTTCCTGTAAACAAGCAACAAAACTGTAGCTGTAACAAAAAAATTTAGTAAAATAAACTGATATTTTGATATTTTTGCACACCTCTAGTACCTATTTAAATTTTTGTCTGTTATTTTCATCTGGGACCAGGCTCGTCGATAGAAATTTGTGGGCTCTGGGCAAAAAAACCTCACATGGGCCCCCCTTTTATATAAATTAAAAGGAAAAACCCTGAAACCTTTGACAACAGACACATACAAGTTTATTTATTTTTTGTTTCTAGTTTATTGAAGGCAATTCATAAACAACTGCCACCAATAATTAAAGTTTAAATAAAAAAAAAAAAAAAGTTTTGGAATTTCACTTTGAAAAAACGTAAAAATTCCCTCTTGTCTGGTGCATCTGCTTCACTCTTCTGTGACTAAACGCATGATTTTAAATGAAGCTGTTTCTCCTCAAAGCCAAATGTAAAATTATGATTTGAGTTTTTTCCTCGTGCCGATCGTGTCCCCGTCACGCTGCTCCTCAAACCCACTCTTTGTATTTGTTAGTTTAGTTTGGACTCCATCACCAATAAAATGTAAGACTGCATCTGGACTCTGGCTCGTTTCTGTCTCCGTTGTGATTCTTTGGGTGATTCATCGTCTTATTCTGTGGAAAAGCTGAAATGCACAGGATTCTTGGCTTGATAATTTTCCAGGACTGGTATAAAATTTACACTGAGAACTAAATCTTAAAACAAATAAAATCTCATTATAAACTGGGTCATGCCTAAAATTCATTACAGTTTAAATATTGTTTTTACATTTCTAAAATATGAAACACAGCATGAACAAATATAAATTATTATTATTGTTATCATAAATATGTAAAACTTATCAATATTATAAATCTTACCAATAATATACTTTTATAATACATACATATATTACATAATGTGATTAAAATGTCCTTAGACTTCAAACTTGAATAGAAAAGTTTCTCAAAAGTTTTCCAAAAGTGACTCCAGTTTTTTTCTAATTTTGTAGGAGTTGTACTGTTTTTCTGTTCTCTTATTTTGTAGGAGTTGCACTTTCTTCTGTTCTTTTATTTTGAAGGAGTTGCACTGTTTTTTTTGTTCTCTTATTTTGTAGGAGTTGTACTGTTTTTCTGTTCTCTTATTTTAAAGGAGTTGCACTGTTTTTTTTGTTCTCTTATTTTGTAGGAGTTGCACTTTCTTCTGTTCTTTTATTTTGAAGGAGTTGCACTGTTTTTTTGTTCTCTTATTTTGTAGGAGTTGCACTTTCTTCTGTTCTTTTATTTTGAAGGAGTTGCACTGTTTTTTTGTTCTCTTATTTTGTAGGAGTTGCAGTTTCTTCTGTTCTTTTATTTTGTAGGAGTTGCAGTTTTTCCGTGCTCTTATTTTGAAGGAGCTGTTGGATTATTTACACTGGGAACTAAATCTTAAAACAAAGCAAATCTAATTAAAAACCATGTTATTCCTCAAAATTTATTACAGTTTAAATATTGTTTTTACATTTCTAAAATATGAAACACAGAATGCACAAATATAAATTATTATTCTTATCATAAATATATACTGAATATTATATACTTTTATAATACAAATATTACATAATGTGCTTAAAATGTCCTCAATTTCTCAAAATTTTTCAAAAACTCACTCCTGTTTTTTTGTAATTTTCCGTCCTCTTATTTTGTAGGAGTTGCACTTATTTCCAAGCTCTTATTTTGAAGGAGTTGTTGGATCTTTTTCTGTGCTCTTATTTTGTAGGAGTTGCACTTATTTCAATGCTCTTATTTTGAAGGAGTTGTTGGATCTTTTTCTGTGCTCTTATTTTGTAGGAGTTGCACTTATTTCCATGCTCTTATTTTGAAGGAGTTGTTGGATCTGTTTCTGTTCTCTTATTTTGTAGGAGTTGCACAGTTTTTATGTTCTCTTATTTTGAAGGAGCTGTTGGATCTTTTACCGTGCTTTTATTTTGAAGGAGGTATTGGATCTTTTTCTGTGCACTGTTTTTCAGTTGTTTTTTTTATTTTGTAGGAGTTGCACTGTTTTTCCATGCTCTTATTTTGAAGGAGCTGTTGGATCATTTTCCTTGCTCTTATTCTGAAAGAGTTGTTGGATCTTTTTTCCGTGCTCTTATTTTGAAGGAGCTCTTAGATCTTTATCCGTGCTCTTATTTTGAAGGAGCTGTTGCACCAGAGACTTGAGTTCCTGCAGCTCAGATCTGATGGAGCTCATCTCTTCATTCACACTGGAGTTTTGGTCCTGAGGCGTCTGGACTCTGTGTCAAAGAAGAAAATCAAAATTTAAAGAATTATAATTACAAAAAATATATATATTTAAATCCAGGGGAAAGTGAGCTCTGTTATATTGTGATAATGTCCATGTATTTGTTTAGAGCAGGTCATGTGACTCACCCTGACGCCTCCTTCTGCAGAGACAGAAACTCGTCCAGTGTTTCCTGAAAACAAAATACCATAATTAAGATATAAAAGCAGTCATGAATTAAATATATTTAATAAGAAATAGAAGAAAAGAAGAACCACAACAAGAGACATTTGATCTGCCCCCATCTCAGCCCAACACTAAAGAGACACAGGAGGACGGGAGGGCATCTGACTCACTTTGACCTCCCGGGTGATGTGTGCCTGCTCGCTGTGGAGGACGGGGCAGGGGGCGTGGTCTCCCTGGGCGAGCGGGGCACAGTGGGTGGTGATGTGGGCGTGGTCATAAAACCGTCTCAGAATGGGCAGAGAGTCGAGGAGCTGCAGGACGACAGCGGCCTGCTGCATCACGGCGTTCGCTTTGGAGTTATCGTGGACCCTGGGACAGGAGACACGACAGGAGACGAGACAGGAGACGAGACAGGGACACACGACAGGAGACACCACAGGGGATGAGACAGGAGACATGACGGGAGACACGACGGGAAACATGACAGGGACACACGACAGGAGACACCACAGGAGACACGACAGGAGACACGACAGGAGACATGACGGGAAACATGACGGGAAACATGACAGGGACACACGACAGGAGACACCACAGGGGATGAGACAGGAGACATGACGGGAAACATGACAGGGACACACGACAGGAGACACATGTTTACAACCGTCACTATGGAGACACGCATTTACAACCGTCGCTATGGAGATGCACGTTTACAACTGTCGCTATGGAGACAAGAGTTTACAACTGTCACTATGGAAACGTGTTTACAATTGTCACTATGGAGACGTGTTTACAAACGTCTCTATGGAGACGCACGTTTACAACCGTTGCTATGGAGACAAGAGTGTTTACAACCGTCACTATGGAGACAAGAGTGTTTACAACCGTCACTATGGAGACAAGAGTGTTTACAACTGTCACTATGGAGATGAGCGTTTACAACCGTTACTATGGAGACGCGCGTTTACGACTGTCACTATGGAGACACAAGTTTTCAACCGTTACTATGGAGACACACGTTTACAACCATCACTATGTTTCTGGCCGGTCTGCACCCAAAGGACCTGCGTGAGGAGACGCTGTTTTGTGCTGGGTGCAGGACAAAAGACACAGGAGGTGGCTGTACCTCTGGAAAGTGTCGGTCACCATGGCGATGAGCAGGTTGACGCAGAGGATGGAGGACGCGGCGAGGAAGGTTCCACAGAGCAGAGGAGCCATGACAGAGTCCAGCTTCTGCATGGAGCTGTAATCGTACTCGTCCACCAGAGTCATTCTGTAGAGCGTGAAGAGCAGGTCTCCCACCGTCTGCATACTCGGTACTGCTCCTGTACCACAAATATATATACAAATACTACATTTAACCGTCTGCATACTCGGTACTGCTCCTGTAGTACAAATATATATACAAATACTACATTTAACTGTCTGCATACTCGGTACTGCTCCTGTACCACAAATATATATACAAATACTACATTTAACTGTCTGCATACTTGGTACTGCTCCTGTACCACAAATATATATACAAATACTACATTTAACCGTCTGCATACTCGCCACTGCTCCTGTACCACAAATATATATACAAATACTACATTTAACCGTCTGCATACTCGGTACTGCTCCTGTACCACAAATATATATACAAATACTACATTTAACCGTCTGCATACTCGGTACTGCTCCTGTACAAATATATATACAAATACTACATTTAACCGTCTGCATACTCGTACTGCTCTGTAGTACAAATATATATACAAATACTACATTTAACCGTCTGCATACTCGGTACTGCTCCTGTACCACAAATATATATACAAATACTACATTTAACTGTCTGCATACTCGCCACTGCTCCTGTATACAAATATATATACAAATACTACATTTAACCGTCTGCATACTCGCCACTGCTCCTGTAGTACAAATATATATACAAATACTACATTTAACCTGTCTGCATACTCGCCACTGCTCCTGTATACAAATATATATACAAATACTACATTTAACCGTCTGCATACTCGCACTGCTCCTGTAGTACAAATATATATACAAATACTACATTAACCGTCTGCATGCCACTGCTCCTGTACCAAATATATATAAAATACTACAAAATACTGTACATAATACAAATACTCGTCTGCATACTCTGCTCCTGTACCACAAATATATATACAAATACTACATTTAACCGTCTGCATACTCGCCACTGCTCCTGTAGTACAAATATATATACAAATACTACATTTAACCGTCTGCATACTCGCCACTGCTCCTGTAGTACAAATATATATACAAATACTACATTTAACCGTCTGCATACTCGCCACTGCTCTGTAGTACAAATATATATACAAATACTACATTTAACCGTCTGCATACTCGCCACTGCTCCTGTAGTACAAATATATATACAAATACTGCAATACTATGCTCTGTGCATACTACGTCTGCATAACTGCTCCTGTACAAATATATATACAAATACTACATTTAACTGTCTGCATACTCGCTACTGCTCCTGTAGTACAAATATATATACAAATACTACATTTAACCGTCTGCATACTCGGTACTGCTCCTGTACCACAAATATATATACAAATACTACATTTAACTGTCTGCATACTCGCCACTGCTCCTGTAGTACAAATATATATACAAATACTACATTTAACTGTCTGCATACTCGCCACTGCTCCTGTAGTACAAATATATATACAAATACTACATTTAACCTGTCTGCATACTCGCCACTGCTCCTGTAGTACAAATATATATACAAATACTACATTTAACCGTCTGCATACTCGCTACTGCTCCTGTAGTACAAATATATATACAAATACTACATTTAACCGTCTGCATACTCGCCACTGCTCCTGTAGTACAAATATATATACAAATACTACATTTAACGTCTGCATACTCGCCACTGCTCCTGTAGTACAAATATATATACAAATACTACATTTAACCGTCTGCATACTCGCCACTGCTCCTGTAGTACAATATATATATACAATACTACATTAACCGTCTGCATACTCACTGCTCCTGTACCACAAATATATATACAAATACTACATTTAACCGTCTGCATACTGCCACTGCTCCTGTAGTACAAATATATATACAAATACTACATTTAACTGTCTGCATACTCGCCACTGCTCCTGTAGTACAAAATATATATACAAATACTACATTTAACTGTCTGCATACTCGCCACTGCTCCTGTACCACAAATATATATACAAATACTACATTTAACCGTCTGCATACTCGCCACTGCTCCTGTACCACAAATATATATACAAATACTACATTTAACCGTCTGCATACTCGCCACTGCTCCTGTAGTACAAATATATATACAAATACTACATTTAACTGTCTGCATACTCGCCACTGCTCCTGTAGTACAAATATATATACAAATACTACATTTAACTGTCTGCATACTCGCCACTGCTCCTGTAGTACAAATATATATACAAATACTACATTTAACCGTCTGCATACTCGCCACTGCTCCTGTAGTACAAATATATATACAAATACTACATTTAACCGTCTGCATACTCGCCACTGCTCCTGTACAAAAATATATTACAAATACTACATTTAACCGTCTGCATACTCGCCACTGCTCCTGTAGTACAAATATATATACAAATACTACATTTAACCGTCTGCATACTCGCCACTGCTCCTGTACACAAATATATATACAAATACTACATTTAACCGTCTGCATACTCGCCACTGCTCCTGTAGTACAAATATATATACAAATACTACATTTAACCGTCTGCATACTCGGTACTGCTCCTGTACACATATATATACAAATACTACATTTAACTGTCTGCATACTCGCCACTGCTCCTGTAGTACAAATATATATAAATACTACATTTAACCGTCTGCATACTCGCCACTGCTCCTGTAGTACAAATATATATACAAATACTACATTTAACCGTCTGCATACTCGCCACTGCTCCTGTAGTACAAATATATATACAAATACTACATTTAACCGTCTGCATACTCGGTACTGCTCCTGTACCACAAATATATATACAAATACTACATTTAACCGTCTGCATACTCGCCACTGCTCCTGTACCACAAATATATATACAAATACTACATTTAACTGTCTGCATACTCGCCACTGCTCCTGTAGTACAATATATATACAAATACTACATTTAACCGTCTGCATACTCGCCACTGCTCCTGTAGTACAAATATATATACAAATACTACATTTAACTGTCTGCATACTCGCCACTGCTCCTGTAGTACAAATATATATACAAATACTACATTTAACCGTCTGCATACTCGGTACTGCTCCTGTACCACAAATATATATACAAATACTACATTTAACCGTCTGCATACTCGCCACTGCTCCTGTAGTACAAATATATATACAAATACTACATTTAACCGTCTGCATACTCGCCACTGCTCCTGTAGTACAAATATATATACAAATACTACATTTAACGTCTGCATACTCGCCACTGCTCCTGTAGTACAAATATATATACAAATACTACATTTAACCGTCTGCATACTCGGTACGCTCCTGTACATACTACATTTAACCGTCTGCATACTGCTCCTGTACAAATATATATACAAATACTACATTTAACTGTCTGCATACTCGCCACTGCTCCTGTAGTACAAATATATATACAAATACTACATTTAACTGTCTGCATACTCGGTACTGCTCCTGTAGTACAAATATATATACAAATACTACATTTAACTGTCTGCATACTCGCCACTGCTCCTGTAGTACAAATATATATACAAATACTACATTTAACTGTCTGCATACTCGGTACTGCTCCTGTACCACAAATATATATACAAATACTACATTTAACTGTCTGCATACTCGCCACTGCTCCTGTAGTACAAATATATATACAAATACTACATTTAACGTCTGCATACTCGCCACTGCTCCTGTAGTACAAATATATATACAAATACTACATTTAACCGTCTGCATACTCGCCACTGCTCCTGTAGTACAAATATATATACAAATACTACATTTAACTGTCTGCATACTCGCCACTGCTCCTGTAGTACAAATATATATACAAATACTACATTTAACCGTCTGCATACTCGCCACTGCTCCTGTAGTACAATATATATACAAATACTACATTTAACGTCTGCATACTCGCCACTGCTCCTGTACCACAAATATATATACAAATACTACATTTAACTGTCTGCATACTCGCCACTGCTCCTGTAGTACAAATATATATACAAATACTACATTTAACTGTCTGCATACTCGCCACTGCTCCTGTAGTACAAATATATATACAAATACTACATTTAACCGTCTGCATACTCGCCACTGCTCCTGTAGTACAAATATATATACAAATACTACATTTAACCGTCTGCATACTCGCCACTGCTCCTGTACCACAAATATATATACAAATACTACATTTAACCGTCTGCATACTCGCCACTGCTCCTGTAGTACAAATATATATACAAATACTACATTTAACCGTCTGCATACTCGCACTGCTCCTGTACAAATATATATACAAATACTACATTTAACCGTCTGCATACTCGCCACTGCTCCTGTAGTACAAATATATATACAAATACTACATTTAACCGTCTGCATACTCGGTACTGCTCCTGTACAAATATATATACAAATACTACATTTAACCGTCTGCATACTCGCCACTGCTCCTGTAGTACAAATATATATACAAATACTACATTTAACCGTCTGCATACTCGCCACTGCTCCTGTAGTACAAATATACACACAAAAGGTATGTACATTATTAAAATATAAATTCACACTGTGTATACAAATATATTAAAATACTAATTTAATGTCTGCATACACGGTTATTCTCATGGGAGAAAGTTTTCAAAAGGCATTATTCTATCTTATCTTAAAAAATCTTTACTGTGAGTGACCTCCAAAGATGATCCAGAAGCTGCAGGCGTACGGGATGAAGATCTCCACGTACAGGAACAAGAACCTCATCACATCTGCAGCCACTTTCCCCAGCATCACAATGAACGGTCCCATCAACCTGGAGAGAAGAAGAGGAGACGAGGAGAAGGTCAGAGGAACGGAGCATCAGAGGGTCGGAGGTCAGTTGCTACCTGAACGCTCGGACATATTTCATGAGCCTGAGCCAGAGGAAGATGATGGAGACAGAAAACAGACGAAGAGTGGCGACGTGGAGAGAGTCGGAGGGTCTGATCACGTCGGCCACGTGCACCGCCGTGGACACGCCCAGCAGACAGTACACCAGCCAATCAGAGAGGTTCCTGAAGAGAGAGAGAGAGAGAGACGACCAATCAGAAAGAGGAGCTGCTCTCTGTTAAATGAAGTTGCGTTGAAGTTGTAAAGAAAACACACACAAATGGAGAAATACACATGGAGAGATACACAATAAATAAGTCGAATCGCACATGAGATATCCTGACTTTTGCCTGTCGAATGTTGAGTTAAAATTAAATATCTTGGGCGTATCGTCACCGCGGACATGACAGATGATGAAGATATGTATAGACAGTGTAGGATGATCTATGCTCAGGCAAATCCTCTTATGCCTTTGGTTCTTGTGAGGCCTAAGACGAGGCTCAAAACCAAGAGGACTGGACCTTCTCTGCGACCGACCCCAAACTCTGAAACACTCTTCCCCCCTCACGTCCCAACAGACCCCACAGAGGAGAGTTTTAAGTCTCGTCTTAAAACCAAATTTTATTCTGTGGCTTTTAACACCGTGTGAGTCATGTGGTCCTCTGTGTCTTTTATTTATTTTATTTATTTACTGCTATTTTATGAGGCTACAGCGGCTTGTCAAAGCCTGATCTCGTCAGATCCCAGAAGCTCAGCAGGGTCAGGCCTGGTTGGTACTTGTCGTTGTGTCCTTAGGCAAAACACTTCACCCACATTGTCTAGGATGAAAGTGGTGTGTGTGTGAATTATGGTGGTGGTCGGAAGCGCCGATGGTGCAGATTGGCAGCTGCGATTCTGTCAGTCTGCCCCAGGACAGCTGTGGCTACAATAGTAATTCACCGGGTCTGGAGTGACTGAATGATCTGTAAAGCGTCTTTGTGACGTATATATTTGCTTTTATTGGTTTTATTGTTTTTAGGAAGGGTATGACAAAATTTTAGCAATTTGTGGTCTTCATTTTATGATCTCTGTGCAGCACTTTGGGACTATAAATACTATAAATGCAAAAACATAAATGTTTAGTATTTTGTATTGTCACTGTCCTTGTCTGTTTTTAAAATGGACCATGAGTCAGGAACAAAGATGAATAAAAAAAAAAAAAAGTCAGTGCCACCGAGGGAATCGAACCTGGAACCTACTTTCTGTGTGGTGAGTGAGTTAGAGCAAGTCTTCTGCTCAAACCACTACAAATAACACATTCACACAGGAGAGGAGAGGGTGAAATGACACTAACAGGAATTAAACCTTAAAACTTCAGGTTAAGGGGCAAGTGTCTGCACCGACTGAGCCTCTCATAGTGTAAACGCTGTGTACAGTGTGAGTTACCACAGATCTCTGCTGTAGTTTCCTCTCATGTTCTGCACAGACTTCAGCTGATCCTCCAGGAAAACTCGGTCCTGAAAACACAAACTATTTAACACAAGTAAAACATAAAAACAAACAGTTGACCTCCGACCTGGGGCCACATGGGATGGCAGCCGCGCAGGTCGTCACGGATACGGCGCTGCTCCCACTTCTGCTGGAGGCGGAGCTTCCTGTTGGAGCGGCGGATGTCAATCACCTCCCGAAGCACCTCCTCCAGCGTGAAGAGCAGAGCCACGACGGCGAGCAGCACGCGCCACCAGTCCTGAAACCAACACACAGACACTTTAAATCCACCAGTATGAGGTGGACGAAGTGTCTTGCCTAAGGACACATCGACAGAATTTGGTCCATGAATCATTCCTTCGACCTTCAGTGGATGAATGCTCTAACACAGAGGACAAGGGGGTCGCAAAATCTTTTTGATTTGTTTTTTATATTTTGGAACATTAAATAATTTTGGTGCAAGCACATAATTATAGCAGCAAGGATGCAACACAAGTAAAATGATAACAAAGTATACAGTATAGATACAGTCATACACAGCTTTCATAATATCACTACACACACACTACAACAAAAATCCTACAAAAGATAGTCATCCTTTTGAAATATAGGCCTGAATTGAAGACCATTTGTCCATGAATAAATCTGTCTTCATTTGTAACCTTGCAGTTATTTGCTCCATATGATATACATCCTTTATTTTATTTTTCCACTGGGTAATTGTGGGGGGCAGCGGCCTGAGCCAGGAGACCGAATTTTTTTTTTAAAAGTAAAATTTTCAGCAAATGAAAATGGCTATTTGTTCTTAGGTTGTTTGGAAAAATTCCCAACAGAACACTACATGGCTCTAATATAATTTTGATCCCCAAACAGTTTTCAATTTCGCATTGCACGTCCCTCCATATATTTCTTTGTTTTTTAAGGATGAGGATGAACTGGTTTTCAGTGGGTTCTGTCTGTTTGCTTTTTCATCTGTCTTCAGCTGTCTCTTTCTCTTCATCCCCTCGTCTCTCGCTTCCTGTCAAACTGCAAACACGTCGACCTGGATTTTATCATTTCTTTATAGGCTACATGTGAAGACTTCTGTTACAGCTTTACTTTTACTTCTCAAAGGTATAACACATTAGACTAGATGAGACAAGAGAAGTAAAGCAGGGAAGATAAGGGCAGGAGAGGAGAGAAAAATGCAACCGCCTTCGTCGAGAGTCAGAGAAGAATACCTCTTCTTCAGAGACTTCAGAGATTTCACTATTGATTACATTTTTCTTTACTATGGAATATCCAAAACGTAACCTGATCATTTCTATTTTTGACTAGACCCAAGAACTCCCTGTGTTAGAACAAAAATCCGCATTTTAAAGTTATTCATTTTGGCTGCCCCCATCTGTCTTTAAACATATTGGTTTATAGAATGATCTAATGTCATCTGCAACGTTTTCCGGTCCAATATCAGTAATTTATGTATGTATCATTAGGCTTGTTTGTAATGATACAGTAAACTTTGTACTGCGAGGAAGTGAATGGACGTCAGTAATCCTAAACCACTGCGACAGCCGCAGTCATCAGCCCGTGCAGCCACCACCCGTTGTGGAAGCACCAGCCAATTTGCATACAACCTTTAAGTCTGAGGTCTAGAAACATTTTGGGTTTGTTGTGACACGAAAGGAGAAAGGAGAAAAGATGCCGAAAATGTTAAAGAATGTGTTCAGAAAATCAAGTTGGGACAAAAAACTCTACGTGAAGCATTTACAACAGAACTGCCTCACAACAGCTCAAGAAATAACCAAATACATCACAGAAAACGAGTGATTTGCATCCATTTTCCACGGTGGATGGCGTAAAAGGTTAGTGGCAAAACTCGAGCTGAAATATAAAATGCCATCACTTTTAAATTAGTTTTTTTATTCCCTATGACACAGGTGTCAAACATACGGCCCGGGAGCCAGATCTGGCCCTCCAAGACCTTTAATCTGGCCCTCGGCTGATTTTCTACTAAAATATTTTTAATTATATTTTCTATTAAAATATTGTTAATTTTCTGTGGTGTTTATCACAGCAGCGTCTCCAGCGTCTCTGTACGTGGCCCCTCCCACCAGAGCAGCACAAATGAAAACTTGTCTCTTTCCAAACGCTCTTAAAGGACGATCGTTTTGACTGTTGACCGTGACACCCTCATCAGAAAAATGTCCAACACGAGAAAAGTGGAGCCGAGTGCAGGATTTTACAACAAAAATGGACTTATTCCTATTTACATACAAGTTCACGTTAAAACATTGTGTTAAAATTGTATTTTTCTTAAAGTTTCAGGTTGTTCATAATATTATAATATTTTGTAATAGAAAGAGTTCATCAATTAAAAAATATTTCTGTAATAGATTTGAGTTTCTCTCCACAAATATTTGAACTTATTGTTATTTTTGGGGTTTATATGACATGAGTTTTCTGATCCGGCCCCTTTGGGATCAAAGTAGGTTGGATACGGCCCCCGGACCAAAATGACTTTGACACCCCTGTTCTATGAGGACGACTCAAATATACACAGAGTAATAATGTGTTTAATGAAGGTTTGCGCACATTTGTTTACATTTTACATAAAACAAAACTTAAAACCACATGGCTCATTTGCATAAACGCTGAAAAAAAAACAGCTCGCTCCTTGTGCGCTGATGCGGTTCAGCTTCTGTCAGACTAACTCCTACAGTTTTATTACAATTGTTTTTTTGCATTTCAGCTTTAAAGGCTTTTCAAAATGTCACTGATATGAAAATGACAATAAATGTTGCATCAAATGACGGTCCAATAAATATCGTAGCGTGAGGTTCATACCGTGACGATATCGTATCATGAGACTAACCCCCTGTTTATATTTAACACACATCCACTGTCATGTCCGTGTATAAAGTATTAAAGCACAGATATGTTTAGTGAAGCGACTGAAGTGAACCTGCGGCAGCACGTATCTCTGAGGAGAGTCTCTGGTCACCGACACAGAAATGGCCACCGTCGTCCAGGAAACGTTAAAGAGGAAGTTCAGGATCAGCAGAAGCCACGCCCCCATCCTGAAAACGTAAACAAACAAACAAACACGTGAACGATACGGACAGGCCTCGTTTTAGAAGGACGTGTGTTCTAAAACTGGTTCTACAAGAGCTCTGTTAGACTTTAATCAAAGAGTTGGAGCTACAAAAGCCGAGTTAAACACCTAAACCGGACCATGAACATTTGTATTGATCACATTGACTGTTTTTTTCTGCTGAACATTCCACCACAGAGTTACACAGATTCTGTAAAAGTCCAGACCGTCCGTAGAGGTTCCACTTGACTTCGATGAGTTTGAGAAACACTGGGTTCATGATGAGGTCCAGTTTGCCCCGATGCACCACCACCTCCAGCTGCGATCAAAAACAAACCAACACGAGATTTTAAATGAACGGACAAAGTTAGAGCTAGAGGTCCGTGCACCATTTGCTTTTTTAACATTTCAATTAAGAATGAAAAACAATAAAATGGGAAAACAGTTTGTTATTTCATTTTTCTATTTTAGTGTCAAACAAAAAACAGATTTCAACCTCTATTTTCAACATTTAATTTAAAGTTTACTTCACCAACACCAATTAAAAACTCAGTGTCTATTTTAATTTTGATATTTTATTCTCTGGTTTATTTGCTCTGGAAGTTCTGCTGCAGTGTCGACCATGGACTATAATTAAAACAATATTTATTTTAGTTTTGTGGAGTAAACTGAACAAATTTATCGCTGCTTTCTGTTTCTCGTCATGGAGTTCAGCAATGACTTTCTAACAAGCAAAAGTAAACGCATCGCTATAAAAGAAAATGACATATTTGCTCAAAAAACTGCGAAGATTTTTCTGGTAAATCCTTCTAACAGCAGAACTGAACCGGGGGAAATAAACAAGAGAATAAAATATTTTAAATGGAAACAGGCAGAGAGTGTTTTTGATTGGTCTGAAATAAACTTTCAATTAAATATTGGAAATTAAAGTCAATTTTTTTTTTTTTTGTAAAGCAGAATAATGAAATAACAAGCTGTTTTTATTGTTTTTCATTCTTAATTGAAATTCAGAAGAACAGATGATACACAGACCTCGTTGTCTATGTTAACTTTGATATTTTTTTCTCTCAGGTTTATGTTCTGCTGCGAGAAGAATTTACCTGAAAAATCTTTGCAATTTTGTGGACAAACATTTCGTCGTCTTTTATAGCGACGCGTTTACTTTCACGTCTTAGAAAGTCATTGCTGAACTCCATGACGAGAAACAGGAAGCCGCGATAGACTCTCCTTTGTTCATGTGGCTCCATAAAACTATAATAAAAATAGTTTTTATTATAGATCCACGGTTGACACTGAATTCACACGCAGCGCTCAGCATCAGAACTTTTGGGGCAAATAACCAAAGAGAATAAAATATCAAAATTAAAATAGGCACCAAAACTTTTTTCTGATTGGTGTTATTTGAAATAAACATAAAAACAAAGGTTGAAATCTGTTTTTTTTTTTTTTTTTGTTTGACACTAAAACAGAAAAATGAAATAACAAACTGTTTTTCCATTTTATTGTTTTTCGTTCTTAATTGAAAATCGAAAGAATGAATGGTACATGGACCTCTAGGGTTCTTAATTAAGGTGTATTTCAACTGCTACTGTGACTCTTGTTGGGTATTCTAGCCCTAAGGTATTAAATAATAAAATATAAGTAATAAAAACTACTAAAAACAGGTGTAAATATGACTAAAGCCAATTAACCAGTTCTGTACCATGTCTCATTTTGGATACAAGTGAAATTATATGACCTACAACTGAAACGGCAGGTCTAAAACAGGATTATTCCAGGACTAAACCAGGTCTAAACAAGACTAAAGACCTTTGTGGCCACTTCCAGCTGTGACGTGGACTAAAAACTAAAAATACCAACAAATATTTACATAAAATATTAAGACATTAGCTGATGATGCTGCATGAGGATCTGTGTGTTAAATCTGAGACTCACAGGAGACGTCGGGTCCCTCAGGTCGGCCTCTGTCACAAACAGCAGACGTTAGATTAGTAAAGAGTGAGATCGTGTTCAAACAGAACAGTGATGAAGTTGCATTGATTTTATTAATAGTAAAGGATTAATATTAAGCATTCTTGTGGCTCTAATAGACTTTTTCCACAATGGTCAGGAATTGCCTCGCTAAAGGTTTGTGGAACTTCTGGTTAATGGTTTTCTGTGGCAAAACGTCTCTCATATTTTCCAGCAGCTTCATAAATCTGCCCCATCACCAAAACTTAGAATGTTTATCCTTTGTGGAGCTTGTTGGTTGGAGATTTGGTGATGGGGCAGATTTATGAAGCTGCTGGAAAACACGACACACATTTTTTGCCACAGAAAACCAGTTGACCGCAAGTTCTGCAAAGCGCGGCACTTTCGGCCATCGTGAAAAAGGTTTTGTCCTCTTTAAATACGCTTTGGGCTTAAAATCTGCACAGGAGAAGCCCGGATTTTTACCTGTGACGCAACAATCGGGGCAATTTGAGAACCGTTCATTTTTGAGGACTTAGAAAACAATACTTTGAGTTAACGGGTTAAGGAAACAAGCGTGAATGAAACAACAGTGGGATGTTTTAGCTTCCACCCATGCTTACTTATGTTATTGTGTCCTTGAGCAAGACACTTTTACCTGTATGTATGAATGTGGTATGAGAGTTGGTTGAAAAAATATTAAAATCTAGCTTCACCAGTCTGAAAACCGAGGAGTAAATGAATACAAAGTGTTAATGCCTTGCTGTTGTTCCTCGCAGTGTCCTGTAGGTGGCGCTCGCTCTCACCTTTGCTGTTGGGGTCCACAGGCTCCGGCTCCAGGAGGTTCAGGTGGAAGTACTGCTGTCTGCTCATCGTGTCGTGAACGTGGAACTGATTCAGAGCCAACTCGGCCTGGAACCAAATACAAGAAAATACAATATATGTGCCAAAATAACTGTGAAATACAAATAAATGTAGGAAATGACAAAGATGGTCTTGATTTGGTCTCAATGGGCTGTGGTCTTGGTCTCGTCTCGGTCTCAACCTTTTAAAGTCTTGGTCTTGTCTTGATCTTTAAAAGTCTCGGTCTTGTCTTGGTCTCGACTTTAAACGTCTTGGTCTTGATTCAGTCTCGACCTTTAAAAGTCTCGGTCTTGTCTCGATCTTGACCTTTAAAAGTCTCGGTCTTGTCTCAATCTCGACCCGCAGAGGTCTTGGTCTTGTCTCGATCTTGACCTTTAAAAGTCTTGGTCTTGTCTCGGTCTCGAGCTTTAAAAGTCTTGGTCTTGTCTCGGTCTCGAGCTTTAAAAGTCTTGGTCTTGTCTCAGTCTCAACCTTTAAAAGTCTTGGTCTTGTCTTGGTCTCGACCCTCAGAGGTCTTGGTCTTGTCTTGGTCTCGACCTTTAAAAGTCTTGGTCTTGTCTTGGTCTCGACCCTCAGAGGTCTTGGTCTTGTGTTGGTCTCGACCTTTAAAAGTCTTGGTCTTGTCTTGGTCTCGACCTTTAAAGTCTTGGTCTTGTCTTGGTCTCGACCCTCAGAGGTCTTGGTCTTGTCTTGGTCTCGACCTTTAAAAGTCTTGGTCTTGTCTTGGTCTCGACCCTCAGAGGTCTTGGTCTTGTCTTGGTCTCAACCTTTAAAAGTCTTGGTCTTGTCTTGGTCTCGACCCTCAGAGGTCTTGGTCTTGTCTTGGTCTCGACCTTTAAAAGTCTTGGTCTTGTCTCAGTCTCAACCTTTAAAAGTCTCGGTCTTGTCTCGGTCTCGACCTTTAAAAGTCTTGGTCTTGTCTTGGTCTCGACCTTTAAAAGTCTTGGTCTTGTCTCGGTCTCGACCTTTAAAAGTCTTGGTCTTGTCTTGGTCTCGACCTTTAAAAGTCTTGGTCTTGTCTTGGTCTCGACCTTTAAAAGTCTTGGTCTTGTGTTGGTCTCGACCTTTAAAAGTCTTGGTCTTGTCTCAGTCTCGACCCTCAAAGGTCTTAGTCTTGTCTTGGTCTGGACCTTTAAAAGTCTCAGTCTTGTCTCGGTCTTGACCTGTAAAAGTCTTGGTATTGTCTCGGTCTTGACCCTTAGAGGTCTTTTCCTGGTCTTGACCCTCAGCGGTCTTGGACTTGTCTCGGTTTTGACCTTTAAAAGTCTCAATCTTGTCTCGGTCTCGACCCTCAGAGGTCTTGGTCTTGTCTCGGTCTTGACCTTTAAAAGTCTCGGTCTTGTCTCGACCCTCAGAGGTCTTGGTCTTGTCTCGGTCTTGACCTTTAAAAGTCTCGGTCTTGTCTCGACCCTCAGCGGTCTTGGTCTCGTCCTGGTCTCTGGCCCCTGTGGTCTCGGACTGGTCTTGGTCTCGATTAGTGCGCTCTTGACTAAGACACTATAACATCGTCTTAGTTTTTCTGAGATGTTGTAGGTGACATAAAATGGCGGCGGCGGTTACCACGGGCGACATGTGGCTGATGAGGGCGGTGACGAGGAGCTGTCCGTCACGGTCCGTAAGCCCCGCCTCCGCGCCGAGCTCCAACAGCACACGGGCCGCCGCTCTGCGCTCTGAAAACACCAACGACAAACTGTGAAGTAAAGACTAAAATGACTAAAATGACTGAATTAAGTCTAAAAGAATTTGAACCAGGATTATTCCAGAACCGAACCAGGACTAAACCAGGACTAAACCAGGACTAAACCAGGACTAAAACAGGACTAAACCAGGACTAAAACAGGTCAAATATAAGTACTAAAATATAAAAATGACATGTCTGAAGTAGGATTATACCAGGGCTAAACCTGATCTAAACAAGATCTAAACCAGGACTAAACCAAAACAAAACCAGGACTAAACCAGGACTGAAACTAAAACTAAAATCTATCTCAATTAGGACACAGTGTGAAAATTTTTACTAGGACTAAAACAAGATGTCTGGACTAGGATTATTCCAGGACTAAACCAGGTCTAGACCAGGACTAAACCAGGACTAAACCAGGACTAAACCAGGACTAAACCAGGACTAAACAAGGACTAAACCAGGAATTGTATGGCTTAAGATTACAATGACATATCTGAAGTAGGATTATTCCAGGACTAAACCAGGACTAAATCAGATCTAAACCAGGTCTAAAGACTAAAGGTCTAAAGACTAAAGACTAAACCAGGTCTAAACCAGAACTGAAGCTGTTCTAAACCAGATCTAAACTCGATCTAAACCAGGATAAACCCGGTCTAAAGACTAAAGTAGAACTAAACCAGAACAGTCTAAACCAGATCTAAACCAGGTCTAACCCAGATCCACATCAGGACTAGACCAGGTCTAAACCAGGTCTAAACCAGGACTAAACCAGGTCTAAAGTTTAAAGACTAAAGACTAAAGTAGAAATTAACCAGAACTAAACCAGTTCTATAGACTAAAGGTCTAAAGACTAAAGACGAAAGTAGAACTAAACCAGGTCTAAACCAGGACTAAAGTAGAACTAAACCAGATCTAAACCAGGACTAAAGTAGAACTAAACCAGATCTAAACCAGGTCTAAATCAGGTTTAAACCAGATCTAACCCAGATTTAAAGACTAAAGGACTAAAGACTAAAGCAGATTTAAACCAGGTCTAAAGATTAAAGTAGAATAAACCAGGTCTAAACCAGGTCGAAACAGACCAAAGACCCCTGAGTGGTCCAGACCTGTCCTCGGTCTCACCCATGTTGGCGGCGAGCTGCAGAGGCGTGCGGAGTTTGTAGTCCACAGATCCCAGAGACGCTCCGTGAAGAACCAGGACCCTGATGGACTGGAAAACGGCGTCGCTCTTCGCCGCAAAGTGAAGAGGAGTCTGAGCCTGAGTCCGGGTCCGGGACTCTGGGTCGGCTGAGGAGGAGGAGGAGGAGGAGAGGGGGGGTTTGGGGTTAGACTCCAGATCTCCCTGTGTTACTGTGGCAGAGTGGTTAGCCCACCGTTTCTCTGGAGGAGGAACAGGACCATCTGGCTGTAGTCCAGGGCAGCGGCCACGTGGAGCGCTGTGACCCCAAACTGATCTGGAGTCATCAGGTTTGACCCGCGATCGAGGAAGAAGCGCATCACGTCCACGCTCCAGGCACGAGAGATCTGTAGGGAGCAGTGTACAGGACAGAAGAACGCTTCAAAAAACATTCAAATAAATATAAATAATCACTTGGATTATTTTCTCGGAGAATTAAACCAGGACTGAAACTAAAACCAAAATCTATCTCAATTAGGACACAATGTGAAAACATATACTAGAACTAAAACAACATGTCTGGATTAGGATTATTCCAGGACTAAACCAGGACTAGACCAGGACTAAACCAGGACTAGACCAGGACTAAACTAGGATTAAACCAGGTTTAAACAAGAACTAAACCAGGGCCAGAAACCATGTGTCAATTAGGACAAACTGTGAAAACTGACTACAGACTAAAATTACCAAATGAAACTAGGATTATTCCAGAACCAGACCAGGACTAAAACAGGTCAAATGTAAGAACTAAAATATTAAAATGACATGTCTGAA